AAAATATTATTACAAAGCCGCAAACAAAAGAGTATAGTGATTTTACCGTCCCCTTGTAAACTACTATTTGCACTTTAATTTATTTTGAAGTACGATTAGATTTGTCATTTTAAATTTTCATCAGCCTGAGAGAAACTTTTAATGAGGTTAAATTGTACGATGAATTTTCAAATGACCGCCATGTCGTACTGGGTTGAGATAGAGACCTCTAGTTTTCGCTGATATTCTTCTTTAAAAAGGCCTTTAAAATGAGGTGTCACTCGATAAGGCTTTACTTTTAAAATTTTGGAGCTACCCCCAAAATACCCCATTTTGGGGTCCCGGGAAAAATTGGGATACCGTCCAAAAAGTGCAGTTTTATTTTTTATGAAGGTATGTGGAGTTTAGTTTTCCTGGTGTCACCCATTAAAAAGTTAACTAGGGGTATCCACAGATTTGCCCAACCCTGTATATTCTACCTATATATACATGGTGGCTGAAAAGTAACTTGCACCCCCTCTTAACTTTTTAACCATTTGAGATATTTGAAAACGGTTTGCGGCAACCTTAGATTTTAAGGGCTAGGATAATAATGGTTAATTTTGAAAATTTTGGCCTTAGGGGTAGCGAGGGTAGGGGGTAGCTCAAAATGTTCAAATGACAAGTCTAGTCGAGTTTGGTATCATTTTACAGGTCTTGACAAAACATTAACATTGACATAAAGAAAACCAAAATCATCTCACTAATAATAAAAAGGCGCCATAAAACGTTTCAAATCCAAATAACCATGAGGTTGACAAAACAATTTACTTCCATCCTCTCTAACTTTTTAACCATTTGAGATATTTGAAATCGGTTTGCGGCAACTTGTTTGGATACGAAGGGTTACAATAATTATGGTCAGTTTTGAATTTTGCCCTTAGGGGTAATGGGGGTACGGGAAGCTAACAATTTTCAAATTGCAAGTATAGTCGAGTTTGGTATCATTTTGTAGGTTTTGACGAAACATAACAATTAACATAAATAAAATAGAAATCGGACCATTAATAACAAAATGGAAGTTCAAAATTACTTTAAATAATTTTTTATTTGTTATTATTTTGTTATTAGTGAGCCGATTTTGGTTTTCTTTATTTATGTCAATGTTTATGTTTCGTCAAGACCCGTAAAATGATACCAAACTCGACTATACTTGTCATTTGAAAATTTTGAGCTAGCCCTACCCCCGCTATCCCTAAGGGCAAAATTTTAAAAATTGACCATAATTATTGTAGCTTCTAAAATCTAAGAAGGTTGCCGCAAACCGATTTCAAATATCTCAAATGGTTGAAAAGTTAAGAGGGGGTGCAAGTTAATCTTCTGCCACCCTGTATCGATAGGCAAGCATGTTTCTTTAAAACCTTTTTTATCAGCTCGTGTGCATCATAGGGAAAATTACGCATACTGTATAAATTAACATAGGCTCAAAAATAAGCACAAAAAATTAATTCGAAATTTAAAAAAATTAACGTGGGTCTTATGGGTTGCCGTGCTGATTACGATATACCAACGAAACAAACATAAAATCAAAACAAATGGAAGAAATTCCAATTATCACATGTTTTATTTACAGTTTGGAGTGAAAATAGAGAAGCCTGTACCTTTGAAAAACATCTAGACATGCCATCCCTATGTTAAAGCTGTCACCGGTTTTAAATTAAATTTGTCGTAGTTACAAGTACAATGTTGTATAATAAAACACTCCCATCCGCAGCAATCCTGCGGACTTAGCAAATTAAATTTGTCTGATTGGATTTACACTAAAATGTCTCCTTAAAAATATCACATTTCTTCCCTAATTAAATAGAATTAGTTTAGCAAGTAATTAGGTTTGCTGCAACAGGGAGGGTATAAAAGTGCTTTTTGTTGTAAAATGTTAATACAAAACGAAAAAGGAAATCGGTCCCGGGTCCAGGTCTTACCATGAGTACTGCGGTAATAGCTTATTCCCTATATGGGAAATTCGCTAAAAATGACGACAGCTGGTCCATGTAGATGGGATGTCTGTTTATTTAGTGTGGCTTTGGATGTCTACTTCAGTAATCAGTATCCAATACAATAGTCAAGCGTGTACATTAGATATTGTTGGTCAAGATTTCGAATACTGGACAACCACTAGATTAATAAATATATATTACTACATGAATGTTCAATTTTAATTGCATTTTAATAGTTTTATGGTCATATACTTGCCTACCTACCATGATTATAATCATGGTAGGTAGGCAAAACTTTTATTCCCTTAATATAAATTTGTATTGCACCTTACTCTTCCACTCGGTCGTTCTCTATTTGTTTTTATTTAAATGTTGTTATGGAGATATTTAATATTCTAAATTCTTGTTAACATCCAGGGAATTGGGAAATTCCAGTTGGAGATTGAGTGATAGTCGGGTTTGAGGTTGGAGGCCACCAGCACATTCCAGATAAACCTACCTGGTTAATCGAAGTCATAGGTGGAGAAAAAAACGGAGGGTGGGGTCTGGTAAAGGGTAAATGTTGAACAATTGATTGAGATGTCTGAATTAGTGGTAGAGCAGGGAACTCAGGCGGTTCGGCGTTTCCGACTTCTAGAAGTATTGGCGTAATAGGATGACCGTAGTTGCGTACTAGTGACCGCAATAAACCAACGTCATAGATGCCGCAATACTGGATGAACAACTCGGCATCGCCCACATCATCTAAATTGTCCTCAACATGTGCTACGGTCCGAATTTTGTCAGTAAAAAAGAACCGTAGAAAGATCTTATATACGGAAACGACTACATTCGATATGGAATTGGAACCGTAGTTTAGTGCTATTATCTTATGACAACGGTTACGTGAATAGTATGCAATATGGATATAAAATATAATTAAATAATAAAATAAAAAGGTAATATGTTATAATATTAATTTCATGTAGGACCACAAATTTTGTATCTTACTTCCATTTTGAATTTGGGCTCAAAAGGAACTTGTACCTTCATATAGCAAAAGGCTCCCTACCAAAATAATTGAACTAAATATTGAGTAAATAACTGTAATTAGCAATGAACTAATATCGTAGAAAAAATGTTACAAATTAATTGAAAAAGTGTTTAAGTAAAATAATATTATTAGTAATATAAGTATTGACAGAAAAAATGTAAGAACAGGAAGGATGGTTGGTCATAGCTCGTATAAATAAAATTTTTACTAGCATATATAAGGCTATGAATTACATGTACAATTGATTAGTTCCATTAATTCCAGTTTTGGTGATGAATCGGCGCATAGACATCGTATCTGAAACACCCAAAACTTGATTAAGAGAAATGTGGAAAAAGCCAGAATTACAAAGTATGAATTATTTTCAAAATATACATTGATTATATAATTTTATATAAAAATCTTGATGGAAATTAAAAATTAAATAATATAGGGAAAAATCAATGTGTAAAATTAAATAGTTGAAAGTGCGTCTATTGAATAAAGAATTAATAGTTTTGAATGAATATTTAAAAGGAAATAAATATTATAAGTAATATAGATTTGGAGAAGCATAATGTTGAGATTTTAATGGGAAATTTTTTATCATAATGTAAAAATATTAAATAACAAAAAAGAATTAATAAGCATACCTATAATACCTTCTTGTGCTGCTGCCTCCTAGTTTTAGCACCACCTTTCCTTAAAAAAAAAAGAAACCAATGTATTTTTTTTACAATTTATACACAACCTCAAAAAATGTCCTTATAGTTCTTAAGAGTCTACTTCAGTGTTGTGTCTACCTGTACAACTTCAGCCAAAGATACAACACATCAATATCATTATACAGGGTTAGTAAAAAGTGTGGAGACCCCCTGTTATGTTTTTAACTGCCCATACTAGAAAAACTAAACTCGGCACACCTTTATGGCATGTTGTGAGGTACTTTTTGGGCATAACCGCCACTTGGAGTACATCCCCAAAATAGGGGATTTTGGGGGAAACTCAAAAATATCAAATAAAAAGACCCATTGTCAACACACACCTATGCCATTTTGAAGGTCCAGGTAAAAGAAAACCAACAACGCAAATTAAAGGTCTCTATCTCAATCCAGTAAAAAATGGCAGCCAATTGAAATTCTCAGAAGTTAAATTTAACTTACAGCTTTCCAAGTCCGGAGACCCCCTGTAAAATTTGTTACGGCTCACACTAGGAAAACTTAACTCTTACACACCTTTTTGGCATGTTATGAAGTTATTTTTAAGCCTAATAGCCACTTGGTTCCCAAATCCAAAATGGGGGATTTTGTGGGAAACTCAAGAATTATAGACGATAAGCCCCATCGAGTAACCCCGAGCAACACCCCGACCCCGAGTGACATCGAGTTAAACTAAATCAAGTTTTAGTGGTTTAGCAACCAGAGGGTCCCAGGATTAATGTGGGGTCTGGCTACGCTCACCAAAGCAGGCAAAGGATTTTTAGGTAGATTCTGAGGCTGGGACCCTCTGACCGTCTCCCTAAATACATAACGCTTGACAATCGATGAGTATGTACTACAAACAGAATAACTAATTACATACATAATGAATAAGTTATATAATTAAATTACTTATTCCCTTGTCTTTAGGGGAGCGGACTCGTCAAAATAGTAGAGCGTGGGACTTCTGTCTCTGAGGTCCCGGGTTCTAATCCCGCCAAAGGTATTGCAACCAAGTGATAATGCCGAACCCCCCTAGGTCTTAAGTAATTAAAAAAAAAAGATCCCAGGCTAGGTCCTGAAATCCTAGAGGGGAATGTTCCCTTGCCTGTTTTATGTACGCATTCATTTATATACTCGCGACACTATCCGAATTTGTTCGACGAACTTTAATCGAACACCCGAAGTTGATGTGTCTTTGTTCAGCGTAACTCGGAAGAACAATGAAAGTCAACCACACGTCATTTAATCCACACTGTTTCTAACTTAATTATTGGTTCTGGGAACAAAAGCATTCCTGAGATTCAGATCAGTATACGAGTTGTTTATATGAAGATAAGCGATTAATTAGCAGCTGCGCATTTCACAGTTTCATATCTTATCGGAGATCAACGGACGAGCTGTCATACTTGGAACAACATGAGGCCTTATTTGTCGCTAGTATTTCTGGGTAAGATGTGTTCATTTGTAAAATACTTTCATTCATAGTTAACAATAGTGGTATAGTATAGTTATGCGTGGTAAAATGTATTGGAATGCAATGTCATTTTATCTAGAAGTCTACATTTCATTTAGATTATTTGAACAGTTGTTGTTTTGATATTGACTGATGAAAAAAAAACTTAGATGCTGCAATAATATGTTACGATTTGTTGAACTTAAGTGTTTTTAGTGTATAAACAGTTCTGGGATACATTTATTAAATATACTGAACAAAAAAATTATCTAAACTGACAAACGTTCATTTCAAATTTAATTATGTAGTAACTATATTAGACTAGGATTGGATTAAAAGGACTGTATACCTGTTGTGTTAATAATTTAAAGTTGAAAACTGCGAGTTTTTATTATTATTGTGATACATAATCTAAAATGGCTTCTTCAAAGTACAAATAATTGGATCGTACCATGACCTTTGGTACTGCTGGTAATGGATATATGATTAAACATACACTAACATCACTACGTAGGAGGCAAAACTAATTGCGATTTGCTCTTATTATACTTAAAGGGGCGTTTAAGATGAAAGATCAAAGTAAAATATATAGGGTGTCCCTGAACTCTCTACCGGCTTTATCACATTAAACATTTCCAAAGCTCAAGACTCATCCCTAAGCTGGTATTTTGTTATCCAACGAAACATTTTTATTTTAATACGGATTTTCGTAGAGAATTACAATTTGGTACACACTGTAGTAGCGCAAAAACATATTTTGAGAAAAAATATAATTTTTATAACATTTGGTTTAGTCAAATTTAAAATGCCATTTAAAATGTTTTAACTTAAATAACATAAAAACTACATAAGTAAAGAAAGGGTAACAACGCAATTATTTATTTACAGCTTTTTATTTGGGATCGTTATAATTGTAATGGGATTGTCCAAATAAAACATAGCTACAATAATTTTGTTTACGTATCTATTTTTATATTATTTAAGTTTTAAAATTAAAATGACTGCTATTTTGAAACTTAACATATATTTTTAAATATGAATATTATAAAATTATATATTTAAATTTTTAATATTAAATAAAAAAAAAAATATTTTTCTCAAAATATGTCTTTATGTTATGAATCTATGTACCAAATTTCAATTGACTACAAAAAGTTTTTATTAAATAAAATTAGGTTTTTTTTTTTTAATAAGAAACACAATGGCCTATGGACGGGTTACTCATAGTTTTTAGAAATGTTTAACATAACATTTTATTTTGCCTTTGATCTTGTCATAATACCGTAAAAGGTCATCAGAGTTCGGGCACTCTTTGTGTTGTACATAGCTATTTATAAAATAAACGTATAATGCAATGTTTAGATAGCAAGAGAACGAAAGCCTTAGGGTCTGATGACAGAATGTTTACATTATACTACCCACTATTTTGTTCTATAATATTATTACTAAATATCATAGAGAGATATTTTCATAAAACATTTAAAAATATGAATTAAATTGTGTTCTTTATTTATGATAAAACTAATAACTCGCGTAAATTCCATATTTTATTTTTAGACGGCAAGTCACGCAGAAATTATTTTTTTATTACGCATTTTAAACAATTATTTATGGTTATAATTGAATATTGTTTTCATACAATATGTGTTGAGATATGAGGGGAAAAAGACATGCAAGTTTATTTTATAATTTTATTCTGGACATTAAGCGGAAATAGTGCATAGATGAGGGTGTACGACGGTGAAATTCGGGGAAGACGATATAATCCCAAGTCATATTTCAAGATTACATCACCCAGGCGAGGGTAAAGGAGCCACTCCTTCTCCACCACGATTTAATATGCAAATATCAGAACCACTCGTCCTTTATTAAATCCAGCCCCTAAACGACCCACAGCTTTCACTATATTGATAAATGATATGAACGGCGAGGAAGCGTTTTTATTGTGACTTGTTGAACAAATCACAGTAATAACTTAAGGCCTATTCTGTTTAGTTTACGTATAAGTCGTTGTAGAAGTACTTTTTCGTCATAAAACTCATATAATTTTGGTTGCATTGATATATTTACCTCAAAACTTGTTCTATTAAATGTAAAGACTCTGCTGAACCTTCTGCAAGAAATCTAATGTGCAGTATATTACAAAGAAATCGGTTTGAATTTGAGAAAGATTTAAACTCTTTTTAGAGATTAAGTTCACACAGCTTTCACACATCATCGAGGTTTTGGCAATTTAATCTAAACCAGATAGTCAGTGGAATAAATTATTTTCACCTTCAACTATGGGCCTTATAATTTCTGTTACATTAAAATATATGACAGTAAACCAACGGGTACGAAGGATAAGCTCCTAATTCAACTGTCAAAATATGATGAATTCAGACAATGCTCGCTGATCCGAGATTTACACTTAATTAGTTGATGTAAGGTGAGTGAACCGTGTTAGGATTAGCCTACAATCAAGTTCATCTGCAGACACAAAGAACCAAACATTACTGGTAAGCTTGGCATTTACCACAGGTAGGACTAATACAGCTATTAGCAGTTCATCATTATAATGGTCGACGGTTGAGCATTACTGATGCTATCGCCTCAGATAGTAGAGATTACTTTAATGTTCTTTCAGTAATCTTATTGCACGATGAAGTTTCGTTCTCCAAATACAAAGAAAAAAATCAGACATACGGTTCAAGTTCTCTAGAATTTATACAGGGTCAATTAATTATGTAATCAGTGAGATTCATACTTGTTTGTCGTTTGTGTTGAAACAGCTGTGGTGGCAGTGGCCCAATGCAAGAGGCCTCCTTGGTACAAGCCTTGCTGGATATACATGTGTGGTCTAGACCTGACTGATCCTGTATGTACCTGGGACCCTCACCACGGAGCAAGGATCTTCCGTAACGACTGCGAAAGAGCGAGACACAACTTCTGCTACAATAGAAGTGAGTGGATTTTACTGCCAATTACTAAATAATTTTAAATTGAAGCAATTTAAAATACTACCTTTGGAAATATTTAAACTTTATGTTTAGTACAGTTGTTATAAAACTGGGTATTCGAAAAAAGAATCATTATCACTAACAATAATTGTTTATGCCGAAGAAATGTTCGAGTTAATAGCGTATCCAACTCTTAGCAAGAACCTAATTTAAAATGTTGAACTAAACTATGTTTAAAATAGTTAGACATCTAATACGAGTAATTGGTAACATTAACGTGGCCAGTTATTTCATTTTATATATTTCTTTCAACATCATTGGAATGGTTTTACGTGTTTTTCTAAGGGAACGGTCCCAGTTCTAGTCATGACACCATCTAAAGCCAACCTTTTGTTAGATGGCATCATTAATTTATAGCCCAAATCATGTACACATATACCAAAACATACACAAATAAATAAAAAGTAATTAACATATTCAACTTTGATATGTTATATACCAGATTTGGTGGTTCATTACTTTCATTATCAAATCAGAGTTTAGTTTATAGAACAGTGTCCTGATTCTGAGGTTTTGATAGGACAATGAGTATTACAATATTATACTACCGGCCCAAAATTCTTTTGCAGACTACTCAGCAGTAGAGCCTCCTGCGGGCGATAGTTCCCTTCAGAAATTCTGCTTGAAGTTGTACTCAAAGAGTAAAAGATTTCATTACAAAGAAAAACACCGTCTAAGGAATATTAATAAAGGAGCAGTATTGTTTTTACGATAAGTCAGCTAGTTTCAATTTTAAAATACCGACTCTGTAAAAAAATAACCAATAAACTGATTAAAATTAATGAGTTATGTTTTCTATGAGCCCTTGGGTACAAGATCAAGTTGAGTTTCGAGTAACTTCGTATGAGTAGTCTCTCCTTTAAATTCTCGCGAGTCTCCAGTGTTAAACAAATCTTTGTTTACATCTACCTCGGTTAATCTGTGCTTAAAATTGTATGTACAATCAATAATTTAGGAATTACAATCCAGAATAATTGAGTGAGACTTTGAATTATGAATTTTAACAATATTAATCATATTTGTCAAAGTTTGCCTTACGATATTAAACCACATCTGACCAATACGTAGTAAGTTTGTGCATCAACTAATTGGGTTAAAATTGTTTGCTTACAAATTTATACATTAGCTGTTTTTACAGAAAAACTAAATAATGAAGAGGTTAATTATTATTATTTCATTAATTTTAATCTGAAAATATACTCACGTAAGTAAGCCAGAAGGTGCCAAACGCAATAATTTTCCGAGTCGTTAAAGTTCATATTCAGCATAATTTATACATTATCAATTGGTCATAAATAATTGTAAATTTTGGACAAACACCGTCTGATGGGAGGTATTGTAAATACTGTATTAATGCTGTTATAGGTGAGCTGTGACCGCTCGAATCATGTACAGCATGAAAAATGACTACTTTTGACACATTGTATCTGTATTCTACCATAGATAAAAAGACCTACGTCGGTAGATTTTCATCTATAATCGAATATTAAAGGTTTCAATGCTGTTCAATTTAAAATTGCAAGTTCATTGTGAAATTTCGAATTTAAAATTTATATTTATAAGTTTATAACTTCAATTTTAAATTATAATTTGTTTTAATTTGAGAAAGGATTTAACTCTTTTTAGAATTTTAAAATTGGTTCCAGTATGACTACATCATTGGAGCTTTGACAATTTAACCTGATTCTGGGATCAGATAAAGAGTCAAAGGAATAAATACTCTTCGCCTGCAGTTACGTAGGCAAGCTTAAAATAAGTCCAATTAAGCATATCTGAGTATTTATCCATCATTCTAACACATTTCTACGTAAATGTCTTTAAATATCGTATTGATTACAGATTATGGTGTCGTTGATACTGAAAACACAATTGACGAGGACATTAAACTGTGTAAAAAATTGAAAAATATCGTCTCCAACGCAGACGACGAGACCTCCGTCATACAGGATGAGAATGTAAGAGTTCACTTTCTAGAGGATCCTAACTTTAAGAGAAAATATCAAGAAAAGAAATACGAGAGACTAGAACAAGAAAGGCGAGCTAGATACGACAAGATGTTTGACCGGAGCTCTTCAGACATTAGCTCCTTGGAATATAGACGTCACTAGAAACTGTTGTACCTTCATTTACTGTTTTACCAACATCTTTTAACCTCAGTACTCAGTGTTTAAAAAGGATACACATAGAATTCATGTAAGAGCTCACAATTGTATGTACTACATCATGGAACAAACGATTATTTAGTTTGGTCACTGTTACACAAGCAATAATTTATATGATATGCAGATGATATACATTTATGATAAACCCTCTAGACATAAACATGACCCTGTGCTTTCAGGACACCAGGGTATTTAATTACAAGTTGTTATAAATTATTACTAGTAAAGGTAATTCAAGTAACTTTAATTTACCATCCTTTGGTATTATAAATTATAAACGATGGATATAAATACCAGAGTTTCAATCAGTGAGAGGAGTATTGTACTTAACACGACCAAAAATATTTTGTTAAGTAGAATAACTGGTCCATGTACTATAAATAAAACCTTAAAGTCCTGTTTTCATGAAAGCTTTTATTGATCTTCAACTTAAGATGAGAAAAAAAACCATTCAACTAATTAATAACCACTTTACTTAACATGTAGTATTTAGCGCAGTCTAATTATAGTAAACATCTTACATTGTTGAAAGTTTCACACTGCCCTTGAAGGCATTAAGCTAGTAATTTAACCGAACGTAAATATGAATATTTGACCTTCTTAATACTTTTCTTTCTTAATACTAGCTGATTTCTTGGTAGGCCTATATTTATTTAAAACTTAAAAAAAACATCATTACAAAACATAATATTTAACATTTAAAAACTGTTTTCCAATTTCTAAAATGGTCACAGCAATGTTAATATTTCTTGACTCAGATGGTGATAGGGTTGTTTTTGTGTGAAATTCTCTTGGTGTACAAAGTTTGGCCTGCTTCATCAGAAAATGAAATGATTCGGTAGAGCTATTTATATAAAACATATTCTTTCTTGGATTGTTACAGTTTTTTTTTTTTTCAACTAGCCGTTTCAGTTTAGTTCTTAAAATTGAAAAGGTTAACAGCATTGTTAACTTACTTGACGGCATTTTTTATTTATTTAACATCATGGGTAATGAACCAATGAGGTTCAAAGGATCAATAGTAATGAAGTAAAATTGTAATCCTTCGAACTTCAATTAATCTCGAACTTCAATTAATCAGCTGTTCAGGCCAATTTATTTGTTTATGAGTGGTGCAATTAGTGTTTGGTACAATGATTCGTTGCAACACTGTAATGATAGGTTATAAACGAAAACATAATCCCTCGTGGAAGTTATGAGCAGTCATTTTTAGTAATTAAAACACTGTCGTTCGTAAAGTAGTGTACGCAACTCGCGTAAATAATCTTACGGAAAATAATAAAAACAAAAAAAAGTTGTATAACACTTAAAATTGTTAGTGTTATAAGACGTTTCTTTTATTTACTTTCCGTAAATTTAGTAACACTTACAATGCTGATCAAGAAGTTATTAAATAATCTTATCGCCACTAGTAGAAGTTTTTCAAGCTATTGCCAAGCTCGTACCTTAAATTTCTACTAGTGTCGTTAACACTATCTTTACGCTATCGTTGCGTAAACTACAATTTATTTATATGTTACCATATTACATATGCTTGAAATAAACGGAAGAAAGCCTTATTATTTATATTACTTAGTTTGTAATGGTAAATCATCAAGTCACTTTTTGTATGACGAAACTTTATGTGTTACAGACTTTGGTCTTAAGTCTTTAGACGAGTTTATCTCTAATTACTCAGCAAAGCCTCTCGCCCAACAAAGTTGTGTCGGACCAACAACAGTTAGGAACTAGTTAGGGTCATCACTGCAGTTGCAGGTGTGTTGTGACGGCACATTAATGATTCATTGGACCATCAACTTCCGTCATTATCCAGGAGAATGCGATAATCCTTAAGTGATCTTACGATGGCTCTGTAAACATTATTATCTTACTTTTACCCTAAAAGGTCTGGTTTAATTTTTAATTCATAGATAATATTTTACAGATTTTAAAGAGTCTAGTCTTTATTTAAATTAACCTAGATGATTAAAAGCGCAGCCGTTTGACTTAGACTCACTATTGGGACAAAACTATCAACGGTTCTTATAGGACACATCCAACTTTTAACATAAAATTTTTCTCTATTCATTCAATTTGGAGTTTGTTTGGAGGTTGCGCAATATGTAAATATATGATTATGCTGGAAAATATTATGATGTAATAGTTTAATATTTCCACATACAAAAATCTGTTGACCATTTATGGTCTTTCTTTATATGCCATCTTGAAATTCGGGGACGGGAAACCGATCAGCAAAGTTTTCAACTTCTCGTTTAAGACTTCTCACCTCAGGAACGAACTCTTTGGCAAAGATAACTTTTTTAAACTCGAACATTTTAGTTCCAGATACTTTCAATACCCGCACTGCTAGCTTGATTCCCCGGTCTATGAAGTCCGCTACAACCTCCATATCTGTTTCGTTCATGCCCCGCGTAGTTAGTGCTGGCGTGCCAAGTCTCAATCCACTGGGGTTCAAGGCGCTCCGATCTCCCGGCAGGGTGTTTTTGTTGCAAGCAATGTTTATCTGTTCTAAGATGTGTTCCGCCTTTCCACCATTAAGACCTGTAGGACGAATGTCAACCACCACCATATGGACGTCCGTGCCGTTGGTTACGATTCTGTACCCTTTCCTTTGCAGTGCAGAGCTAAGAGCTTTGGCGTTGAGAACTATTTGTTGAGCGTACCTTTTAAACTCTGGAGTCTTCGCCTGCAGAAGTGCCGTAGCCACTGCGGCGATCTGGTGATTATGAGGACCACCTTGCAAACCCGGAAACACAGCTGCGTTAATCTTATCTTCTATGTCATACATGATTGGTTGGCCGTTCTTATCTGCTTTACGGAATCCTCTACGGTAGAATATTAGTCCCGCTCGCGGACCACGCAGCGTCTTGTGTGTCGTGGTGGTGACGACGTCACTGAACGGGAATGGTGAAGGAATCACGCCGGCGGCGACCAAACCCGAGACGTGGGCCATGTCTGACAAGAGGAAAGCATCGTTTTCGTCAGCAATCTCGTGGAATCTCGAGTAGTTGAGACAGCGAGAGTAGCAGCTAATACCTGCAATTATCATCTTAGGCTTGAAGAGTCTGGCTGACTCGGCCAACTTGTCGTAATCTATCAGTTCGGTCTTGAGGTCCACCTTGTACGGCATTGATTCAAAGAAAATGGATGTAGCGGAGATACGCTTTGATGACGTCATAAAACCGTGGCTCAGATGTCCTCCGTCGGGCAAGTCCAAGCCCATGATCCTATCGTGGGGCCGCAGCAGTGCCGTGTACACAGCCAAGTTGGCCGGCGAACCCGAGTACGGCTGGACGTTCACTCCCCACTCGTAAGAATTGAGGTTGAACGCTTTCAACGCTCTGTCTTGGCACAGCCGCTCGATTTTGTCTATGAACTCGTTGCCTCCGTAGTACCGCTGGCCCGGCAGCCCCTCGGAGTACTTGTTTGTCAAACAGGAGCCGAGACATTGTAGCATGGCTACGGCGATGTAGTTCTCTGACGCAATCATCTGCAGGCCCCTTCGCTGACGGCGTTTCTCCCGCGAGATCAAATCAAACAATTCTGGATCGGACTGGTTCAGCGGTGAAGTCATCAGTGATGTTCCGCGCAGAGCCATGATCTTGGGTTTCTACGTAATAAGTAGTAACACTTACAAAATAGGACTTTTCCTACTTAATAGAAACGTGCACTGGACACAATTTAATTGACACATATAGGAGATGTGGTTGCATTGAGAATTACATAATGCACACAGTTCTTGCGAGTGATAGTAGGATTGTAATTGGTTAAAACAATGACAATGTATCACACACTCCACAATTGGAGAATACCGCCACTACAGATTCGTTTCAAAGCCACAATGTGCTCCACCAAGCATTATTTATGATTTACTGATACCTCTTCCTTCATTACCTACTGATATTGGTAATTAAAAAGGTGATCTTTTACAACAAATATAAGCTACAAAAGCAAATAGGTAGTTATAATACTTTTCATACTAGTTCTAAAACCTTTTGCTAATATTTTTTTACATTGAATGAGGCGCGCGCAAGTAATCCACAAGACACCCGATTTTTAATAAATCTTTTACAGTAACAGCATTTCACTTTTGGAAATCTTTACCCTACATTATCAGGTGCCTTTAATTCCGTTCTAGACTAACGGCGCGGCGCGGCGGTGCGGAAAGCGTACTACCTCGATAAGATGGGTGTAGCTTGGCAGAATGGCATGAGCTAGGCCTAGGAGTGGCAGAAGGGCATGAGCTAGGCCTAGGAGTGGCAGAAGGGCATGAGCTAGGCCTAGGAGTGGCAGAAGGGCATGAGCTAGGCCTAGGAGTGGCAGAAGGGCATGAGCTAGGCCTAGGAGTGGCAGAAGGGCATGAGCTAGGCCTAGGAGTGGCAGAAGGGCATGAGCTAGGCCTAGGATTGGCAGAAGGGCATGAGCTAGGCCTAGGATTGGCAGAAGGGCATGAGCTAGGCCTAGGAGTGGCAGAAGGGCATGAGCTAGGCCTAAGAGTGGCAGAGAGTGAATATCTGTGCGTGAATGTTGAAGGATTATGATTAAGTCCCTTAAGTTTATATCTACCATTTAGTGGAGAATCTAAAAGCTTTTTTATAAAAAAAAAACATTGTTTAGTTAATGATCATATTGACGAGGTTAACTGTAAGAAAAAGCGACGTGGTCCTAATGTTCGCATCAATTAATAAGTATATTCGTTCATTCATTCTCTTATTAAATCCACTTGATGTTTTTATAGTAGGTTAAATTGAATAAAAAGCATGACACTAAAGTATAAATTCTCATCATCCTAACTCTTAACTAATACGAAACTGGTTTCAACTCTTAACATCATTGAGTTGTAGGCTATTCAGAAGTAATAATTTAAGAATAGTTGTACACTGTAATGAGATTGATTCTCAGGAATGTTGTATTTCATTGCCAACTTGTTTTCCCCACTTTGGCACGTTGTGTTTGGCAAGTAATACTGACGACGCTGCTGTTGAGAGGCACACAGATGATCATACCAGTAGCTAATGGCCAACTAAAGGTGCATCAATCGATATAGCGTGGTGAATATGTTTCTATGCAATGTCTCTTACCGAACAAAAACATCAGGTCTACTCGCATGTGTTGGAGATCACAGTATTTATGTTAAAGAGCGATGTTCTGTTCAACTACAATCTCGATCGAAGGGATGGTGAAAAATATGAAAACACTTTTAGTGGAAGAATATTAGGAAAATTGACCTAACAAATTCGAACTACCTAGAAATTTTGCACAGCTGTTAAGTAAGCCATGTTCTTGAAAATGTCAAAAGTCCCCGGAAATCCCTGCTGTGCTTCAGCCGCCATCTTGGAAAATGGCGGCCAATTTTCACTTTTTTGACAATATTTCCCAAACTATTGGTATTAGAGAATTTTTGTAAATACAAGAGTTAAAGAACACCTAAAAATACACATTTTTTATATTACAAGGTTTGCTCTATCTCTAACGGCTATTGAGATAAATAATAAAAATAGTTTTAAATTTAAAATTCCCATGTTATTCTTATGAAGGAAAAGAAAATTTTTGCAGTTTGCTTATTTATGGATATATTTTTATCAAACTTGGCAAACTTATTTATTTTATACTAAGCTAATGATATTTAACATAATTACACCCTTTATAACCCTTCCAATAGCAGTAAACGTAGTACTTGTTAAATTTAAAGTTATTTAAATAGGGATTCTATCTTTCATTTTTAGGAAATATTTTAGTAAAAATCCAGGCAGGCAAATGGAAATTCATTTTTAGACTCGATTGTTAATTTTTCCTTATTAGTATTAAAGAGAAATGGAAAATGATGGCCGATTTTTTTTTAATGACTCCTTAATTGTCAACATAATCAAAAATTACCAAGAGCTAAATAATATTCGCTACTAAAAACTGAAAAAAATGTTTGTATTTTGTTTATTGATATTGGCAGCACTTTTTAACAGGAATATTTGACTTGTTCATTGTTAGTCAGCTGACAGTATAATAAAGTATGATAGCTGAGAATGTTTGTTTGTTTTACAGATTCTGAAGTTATTTAATAAGAATGAAAGGCTGTTTTTAAGTGTGTTCGTGTTTATTTGAAGTTGTTTTATTATTTTTCTGTGTACATTGTTAACGTTGTGTGATATATATAACCATTCCAGTGTCATTTAATTAAACATGAAATGTGCAATATGTGAAGTAGAAATTGAAGAAGATCAGGTAATCGTGGAACGAGGAATAGAAAATCTAATTCAATCAAGCATAGATAGAGGGGATGAGAAACATATAATATTTGAAGCACTGGGAAAAGTAACATTACACAAAACTTGTCGTAAAAGCTACACAAGAAAGAGTACTTAAGTTTCAGAAAACAAAGAAAATACACGACCATCATCTCCTAAGGTAAGTGCAGTGCTCAGATCAGGTAATTTTTGATAATGTTGACAATTAAGGATTCATTAAAAAAAATCGGCCGCCATTTTCCATTTATCTTTAATACTAATAAGGAAAAATTAACAATCGTGTCTAAAAACGAATTTCCATTTGCCTGCCTGGATTTTTTCTCAAATATTTCCTAAAAATGAAAGATAGAATCCCTATTTAAATAACTTTAAATTTAACAAGTACTACGTTTACTGCTATTGGAAGGGTTATAAAGTGTGTAATTATGTTAAATATCATTAGCTTAGTATAAAATAAATAAGTTTGCCAAGTTTGATAAAAATATATCCATAAATAAGCAAACTGCAAAAATTTTCTTTTCCTTCATAAGAATAACATGGGAATTTTAAATTTAAAACTATTTTTATTATTTATCTCAATAGCCGTTAAAGATAGAGCAAACCTTATAATATAAAAAATGTGTATTTTAAGGTGTTCTTTAACTTTTGTATTTACAAAAATTCTCTAATACCAATAGTTTGGGAAATATTGTCACAAAAGTGAAAATTGGCCGCCATTTTCCAAGATGGCGGCTGAAGCACAGCAGGGATTTCCGGGGACTTTTGACATTTTCAAGAACATGGCTTACTTAACAGCTGTGCAAAATGTCTAGGTAGTTCGAATTTGTTAGGTCGAATGGCATTTGAATTCCTAAAATTCCTGGACTATTTTGGAAATTCGATGAGCAGGAAAAAGAGTGCAAGATGAAGGAGTGTGACGGAGCTAGCCATATAGATATTTGGTGGTAAAAATATTTTAAAAAAGTATTACAATCAACCAGAAACCTTGGCCAAAGCCATACAGCATTCGTCGAGGTTTGAGAAGAAACATGTCAGAGTGCCGAAGAACAAGTTGGCAATGAAATACAACGTTCCTGAGATAAAATCTCCTTACAGTGTACGACTATTCTTGAAAAATTACTTTAAATCCGTTTTGAATATAGCCTACAACACACTGATGTTTAGAGTTAAAGACAGTTTCGTGTTAATCAAGAATTAGGATGATGGGAACCTCTATTTTTGGGCCATACTTTTATATACAATTTAACAGTATAAGAACATCAAGTGGATTTAATAAGTGAATGAATGAACGAACATACTTTTTTATTGATGTGAACATTAGGACCACACAGCTTTTTCTCACAGTCAACCTCCTAAATGTGATTATAAACTAAACAATGATTCTTTTTACCATGCTTCTCAATTTTCAACTACTCTTACAAGTTAAAAGTGTTGAATATTTTTAAGCTCAGGTGAACACTAGGAAAACATTCCAGTCCAGTACAAAAACTTTCAAAACTAAACAAGTGTTAAACAAAACTCAAATAAACTGTAAAATACCTATTAACCTAACCTAACCTCCCTACTGTTCCTTCTCACACATTGTCAATACCACGATCACCAGCGGCTGACAAGCAGCCTAGTGTGACCCGGGCAAAAGCCGCTGCTGGTTGGCGCTGGTGTCAGCCGCTGTCTACAGAATACCCACCCCCACATGTCTAAAAGTTGGACTATGTTAATAAAAGTTCATTTTAATGGTTTCTAATTGTCACCATGGATTTATTAAATTTTAAATCTTTTAAATATTTTCATTGCTTGGTTTATTATATAGGGTTTTAAGCAACAGTGTAGAGACAATTAATTAGAGAAATTTGTCAATCAAATGAGATATAACAAACGCAAAACCACATTTAAGAGTATTCCAATTAGAAGTTAGCTTACATTTTATGGGTTTTTCAAACTACAAACTCTTTGTGTTAACAAATTCGTACTCTAAACATTTTCATAATTATGTGTCTACCATTAATCAGTGTAATGCTAATATTGGACATTCAACCACTAGTTTATGTGTGATTTGATTTTAAAATAATTGAAAGCACCATACTGACGTATGCGTTTTGTTCCAGATACCAAGGCCTGAAAAACTTTGGTAAACACCACACTAAGAGAGAATGAAAAAACATAACAAAACTACTACTTCCTTCGACCTTACTTCCTTACTTTGTTTTTTTATGTTCCTTACTTACTTTCTTAGGTACTTCCTTCGAATCGTTACTTTATCTTTTTATGTATGTTGTTTCTTTTGTTTGATCATCGTCCAAATGGAGTCATTATTTTGATGTATTGTTTTTTTCTGTAACATCCTTCCATTT